CGTAACACTAACACATGAGAAAACGCAAACATTGTCAGAAAGGAAACATGCCAGAGATCTACACATACCGCTGCAGGGAAAAAGACACAAATCGGGACAATTCATTTTAAGCAGTAGTATACAGTTGCTATCTATACTCAATGAGAGAGAGAGAGAGAGTGAGAGAGAGAGAGAGAGAGAGAGAGAGAGAGAGAGAGGCAGGCATAACTAGCTACAGAAAGAAGTATGTTTCTTAAATATTTTGCAACTCTTCATTGTTCCTGTGACTCGTTAACTGTTTATGTAGCACCATGGCTCCTTCTGAGTTTTGATCATACTACTATCACTTTCGATGTCACCCCATTTATATGTTTATAAACTTTCATCAGAGAATCATTAAGGCTGTTTAACATTCGCTATGGTTATTACACATTGGCTTTTTTTGGCCTGGTGCTATTGACTTTCCTGTAGGACTCAATATTTTCAGACACTGCTCGTGTATCTTATTGTGGATGATTGTGATACAGGGAGCACCACCCTTCCTTGGAAATGAACTGTTGAAAGCTTAATGCCAGATCATTTGGGGGCGGGGGGTGGAGGAAAATGAGCGGCTATGTTGGTCATCTACAAATATGGAATTGCCTGTCATGTGGAAGCAAGAGTATTTTGTTGGAAAGGAGATTAACCAGGAGAAAGAGGTGTGTGGTCATGTCATGAAAGATCTCTAGCCCCAATCTCTTAGTTAAATTAGGCCTGGGCGGAAGTCAGGGTGAGGGGCAGCTGTGCATGTATGTGTGTCAGAGTGTATGTCTCAGGCTAAATTTAACTTGTGCTCTTTATGATCTGAGACTCTGAATAATGTAAATTTGCTTTTCTTTTTTTAAAATTTAACTAGAAGATACACTTATTGTAGCTTGTTATCTCATTTTAAGGATAGTTCCTTAAATTAGTGATACTAGTGGAGTCTCTTCCTTTTTGTTTTTTACGTGTCAAATGTGAAACTTAGCGTGTTTGTACTTTTTGGAAAATAATAAAGAATTTTAATGGAAAAAAGTTAAAAACATTAGCAGTAAATTGCATCTACATTGATGTCTTCACATTTGCTTCCTAGGTGTTTTCTCTCCAGGACCCTGCTCTGGGCTGGCATTTTTTTTTTGCAGTAATTGGTGTTGGAAGTGATCTTTTCATTTCCCTGAAGGCAGCCTTCTCTTCTGCATGATTAAGATTAAGCTGATGCTGGGGTGGTCTGGGTTCCCCTTTCTGTTCTAGCCAGAGTGAAGAGAGGGCTTCCATCCCCTCCCCCTCCTCGAAGGGGCCTCTCTGGCAGGACCAGATATCAGAAAAGGGTCTGGGCTGGAAAAAAGGGCCTGTTTGTGTCTGAAGACTGGACTTGGTTTTGCTCTGCCCTTCTCCTTTGGAAAGCACCAAGATACAAGTGCTTGGGTTTAGATCACTTGCGACTCATAGAAAGAACTTTCCATAGGCTTGACTTTTCTGCACAAATGGCATGGAAAGAACCAGCCTTTGTGATTAATGCATTTTGAGGTGTTATTTCTTTGGGGGGGAATGACACTTACATATGCATTGTTCTACTATGAGAAATGAATTGGTTGGTCATCATACATCTTAATGGCTAGCATAATGCCTGATGCATAGTAAGGTTTCAACAAACATCTGTGAAGTAACTGAAGCATTTGAGAAGAAAAGCCTCCTTTCTGGAAATCACTTAGATATGGGCAGAAGAAGACAGCCAGATCCACAGAACCTGCTCTTGACCCAACTCGCAAAAAAATTCTGTGTTCAGTTCTTTTTGGCCTTTCAATTTAGTTTTGTTTTACAATATTTTTTTTTTAAATGGTGTGTTTTATGGAAGGCTATAGGGGATACCAATGGAGAAGACAACAATGGGAAAAGTAGCTGCTAGTCTTATTAGGAAGTTAGAACTGGCACAGATGAAACAGGAAACAGCAAAACAAACAACAAACAAAAACCTCAGGTGTTTAAAAAAAAAAAAAAAAAAACTGTAGGGTTGTGGGTGGTCAAAGAAAAGAGTGCCCATTATAGCTTAGCTGGAGAAGGCTTTGCCTGGGAAATAGAACTCAGGCTGAACCCTGAAGCACTGGTGGGATTTGAATAAGCAGATTTACCTTCCTTTACCCATGCTTGTGTCTCCTTAGGATGAGGTACACATTCTCACCTCCTCTTAGATGTGAATTCTGGACATGCATTAAGAGTCTGATCAATGCTACCAAAAATGGGATAAATCTCATAAGGTCCTTCTCCTCTCCTAGTATCATTTCATTGCTTTAAAAAAAGTTGATTCACACTATTACTGCATTGCTGGCAGCTCTATCCACAGACATCCTTTAATCTTTGCTTTGTAATTAAAGATCCTAGGCTCTTAGCGTCAAAGGCAGCCCCCTCGTCTTAAAGTTGGGAAACCAAGTTCTGAGGCGCTGGAAGGACCAGCCCAGAGTTCCACAGCTTGTTCAGGGCAAAGCCCAGCCTATAGGGCAACCACACATGCTGAATGCCAGCTCTCTAAGGAGCTTCAGGGTCATGCTCAGTTCAGGTTTGGTTGACATCTGGGAATCCAAAAAAGTACAAATAGTCAGGGGGAAGGGATGAACTGAGAAGGATGGCCCTTGGGTTGCAGAAGGATTTCTGTAGTGATAATGATTACTTGGTGCTTCTTTCCCAAGTGCCTTGCAAAACACTCTACGGGAAAGTGGGAGGGATTTACACCGATCCATTTAACAGTTGGCAAAACCAAGGATACTCAGATCAAATGGTTTTCTGAACTTAAGAGGCAGAGGTTTGGAAAAGGGCACAGTTAGATAAATGTAAACAGAATCTTCTTTTCTCTGTAGGCCCCTGTGGAATTCTAGAGATGCCTCCCTTCTGTCCTGCCTGTGCTCTGCTGTCCCTGAGAATATTTGAAGACCCTTTCACCCAAATTTGTCCTAAAAACATTTGTGTTTGAACTTGTCAACAGTAAATTTTTCTGCCCTATTCTTGCCCTCTTCCTGTTTCTCTCTTTGGTTTTAAATAAGAATTTATTCACAGAATAAGGATTTATTTATTTATTATTTATTTATTATAAAGATGTGGGGTGCAATTCAGGGTTAGGTATACAAACGTTGATTATGCAGGTACCCTTGTTGATGAGATATGCCCCTCCCTCCCCTAGCAGTTTCTCTCAACTGCCAATCTCACCCCTCTCCACTGACAGTTTCCCACTACTGCCAGTTCCCTTCTTATAGTATTATAATTGTTCAAGGTCCGCTTATGAGTGAGAACATATGGTACTCTGTTCTTTGTTTCTGTGATAAATCACTGAGTATTACGGATTTATTTATAGATACCAGTATGCACATAAAACAGAAACCACAAAGTCTGCAGTTGTGGCTTAAACTGTGCTGCTTAATTTTGACTGTGTACAGTTTTAAGCCCAGTGGGAGGAAAGGTGGGTTTTCTGGTTATAGAGACCTGAGAGAGTAATTTAAATGCTCAGGTCAGTTACTCTATAAAAACAGGGATTTTTAACTGAAGAGTTGCATCCCTAACTCCTTGAAATTGTATACAAGTGTGTATGCAAATATGAATTTTCTGCAAAGAGGGTGTTCAGTTTTAATAGAAAATCCTAAAATCTCACATGCCTGTAGTCCCAGTTACTGGGGAGGTTGAGGCAGGAGCTTCGCCTGAACCCAGGAGGTAGAGGCTGCAGCGAGCCGAGATTATGCCACTGCAGAGGCAACAGAGTGAGATCCCAACTCAAAACAAAACAAAACAAAAAACAAAACAAGAAATCCTAAAATCTACAGAAAACAGGATAGGCATTGTATACATAGTGAATATTTTATTTTTGACATTAAAATGTACTTACTAGAATATTTGAGATAGCCTATACATTAAGAATATTAAACTCATGCCATAACATTTTTTCATTTTTTGTTATTAGTATTACTTTTTGATTGACAAATCATAATCATATACATTGTAGTGGATATTTTCAAGCACTCCCAAATGGCTCTCCTGCTAAAAAAGAATTCCTTTTCATAATCCCTCTAATTTCATTATAAGAACAATTTTCTTTGGTTAAACATTTATACTTAGCATGTTCCTGATAAAGGGCATATACTGTTTGGAACAGGGAATGCTTTCACAGGATAGGGTTCAAACAAATATAACTTACCATGTTGTAGTAAGGATATTTCTTTTTTTTATTATAAAGATGTGGGGTACAATTCGGGGTTAGGTATACAAATGTTGATTATGCAGGTACCCTTGTTGATGAGGTGTGCACCCCCTCCCCAGCAGTTTCCCTCAACTGCCAATCACATCCCCCACTCGTGACAGTTTCCCATTACTGCCAATCCCTTTTTTATAGTATTATAATTGTTCGAGGTCTGCTTATGAGTGAGAACATGTGGTACTCTGTTCTTTGTTTCTGTGATAGATCACTGAGTATGATCAACTCTAAATCAATCCAAGTTGCTGCGAAGTCCATATGTTTGTCCTTCTTTATGGCTGCATAATATTCCATTGTGTATATGTACCACATTTTTCTTATCTAGTCCAACTTCAATGGGCAGCATGGTTGGTTCCATGTTTTTGCTATTGTGAATAGAGATATTTCAACCAATCAACTTCCTAATTGTCCAGTACCCAAGTGAAAAAACTACTAGCACAAACCCAATGATTTCATGTTTCCACCTTGCTGGAGGACTGTAGTTGACCCTGGATTACCAGATGCATCAGTATGCTTTTCTCCATACGGAATAAAATGTTTTTGTTTCTCCATCCTCTTTGTTATTGATTATTCAGGGTCTGTGATAGCTGACTTGCATACATTGGATATAATTCTCCCATTTATGGATGAAAAAGCTGAGAACCCAAGAAAAAAAAATCACAGAGGTGGGAAGAGATAGAACCAGGATTTAAATGACAGGTTATCCATCTCTGTGGTTCATACTCTTTGCCCTCAGTCATGTTGCATGACTTTGCTATCATGAATACCTCCATTTGAACCTGAGCGAATTCTAGTTAAGAATCAAAGTTAGGGTTTCCTGTGAAAGAATTTGCTAAAAGTAGGGAGTTATCAGAGGACAAGATATCAAGACATGTTTGACTCTAGATAAAGACCATCAACTGGCACATCCAAACTCAAGCCTCTAGATTTGTTCCTGTTTGGCACTTAGCACATTTTAAATAGCAAAACATTTAGTTTTTGTTAACTTTGAGAGAAAAACAGTAATTAAACATAATGTATTCACGGCTTGTCTCAACAAAGCTCTTACTATTTTAACTTCCCTAAAGTTAGGACAGTGGACATGAATTAAAACAGTAAGTTGAGAAAAACAGGTGTGAATCTAGAAATAGTTGAATTTGTTAAATAGTCTTGGTCTCACTCATCCAATTTGTGGTTTACTATTTTTATGCCATTTTATTGGTACCTGCTCTTATGTGTCAGTAGTCAAACACATTTCTGTTATCTCAAACCATGATCATTTAGGCAAGGGGGTCTGCAAACATGTTTTTTTCTTCCAGAAACAGTCAACATTTAGATATTTTTGGCTTTGTAGGGCCTGTGGTCTGTGTTACAACTACTCAATGAGCTCATGGTTGAGCAACCGTAGCTAATATGAAAAAAATGAGTGTGACTGTGTTCCAATAAAAAAATCAAAGTTTAATGTCTTATTGGGCAAATTATCCTCTCTGAGCCAAATAATAATAATAATAATAATTGTGGGATTAAAGGATCTTCAAGGGTCTTTCTACTATATCATTTACAAAAATGGAGTGGACCAGATTTGACCTGCGGGTCATAGTTTTCTAACCCTTGGTATAATGGATAAACACAATTCTAGGAACACTAAGAAAAAGGTGAAGGAAAAGAAATACTGAGGGCACACAAGAGTGCTCAAGAGTGTGTATGTGTTAATTTTCCATGTGGACATTTTATTCATATTTTACACATGACATTAAATATAAACACTGTATTGTAAAGGACTGAATTGGAAGTCAGGAAGAAGTCAGGCTGTAAAGTTTCACCATTAACTTTAATGTCTCATTGGATAAATTACCCTCTCTGAGCACAAAAAAGAAAAAAAAAGGATAGTGGGATTAATGGATCTCCAAGTGGCTTTCTACTACGTCATTGTCTGATGCTATGATTGTCTTATTAAGATATGTAGGGAGAAATACAAAGTTAAAAATAAAACACATAAGTTAATGTCAAATAAAAATCTGACCTGGAAACTTCTAATTCACATAATCACCCAGGTTATGGAGATCAAGGACTCAAAGAACACCGTGGAAAGGACTTAGACGCATGGCTTGGATGCATGGAGTGACAGGAACACCACAGGCTCTCATGGTGGTGGGAGCTGAGCTGGAAGATCACAGTAATGAGTGAACTCTCCCCCTGGAAACAATATGATGAACAAAACTTTCTTGGGACTTTAGAGAACAATCTTGGGGACATTTCATTAGAAGAACTTGGACAGAAGAGGAGAACACTTTGTGGTGTGCACAGCTGTCGGGGAATCAAGGAGCCCCTCCCACCAGTAACTACTCCCCAAACCACTTAGAACGAGAGATGGCCACTTCTTTCTCAAATAATGGCGTTCAGGATAACTGGCTGATCTTCGGATGCTGGCTTTTGAAAAGACCCGTGGTTTGCAAACCATGCTCTGCAGGGAAAGGGCTATTGAGCAGGAGCTCCTGCTTCAGCCAGAGCCCTCCACCTCCAATTTTATTTGTTGGAGTTAAACAAATGTTAGTCCAAACCCTTCATCGAAAACAGGAAAACTGAGTCTCAGAAGGAGCCATGAGTGGACATGGCTGTTGCAGCGAGTGAGAGAAAACTGTGTGAGGCATGAGAAATTCGTATTCATTTTCTGGGGCAGGGGGCTGCCTAGGAGTGGAAGGCATGCGAAGAAGTGAGTACTCAGTCTCAGGTCCTTCCAAGGGCTCTCTGGGTCTCTCAGCCTTGCAGGAAATGTTCTCATAGTACTCCTCAGCAGAACTTCCTGATGGCCTTCTCCAGAGGGCGCTATGATTGATGAGGGTATAGCACAGCTCCCCTGCATAGGTCTGGTCTGCCTTGCCCTGCTGATCAAAGGAGAGCCATTATCAAGAGCTGGCTTTTTGCTATGCCCTTTACATGTCAGTCTCAACACAGGCCTGACCCTGGGTAAAGTCTGTCTTCTATGACTACCTCCTCTCCCTCTCTCGGCCATGTTTTCTAAAAAACTGCTGCCACCTCAACCACTAGGCCAGGCAGTAAGAGTGCTGAGTATAGAGCCTGCTCATGTGTGTCCTCTCTGCCCCATGTTCCACAGTGACCCCTGATCATCTGATATAGTTGGACATGTGTCTCCTCCAAATCTCACATTGAAATTTGATCCTCAGTGTTGGAGGTAGAGCCTAGTGGGAGGTGTTTGAATCATGGGTACAGATCTCCCATGAATGGCTTGGTGCCATCTTCATGGTAATGAGTGAATTCTTGTTCCATTAGTTTTCTCAAGATCTGATTGTTAATAAGAGCCTGGCCCCTCCCTCCCGTCTTGCTCCCTTTCTTACCACGCCAGCTCCCCTTTGCCTTCCACCATGAATGGAAGCTTCCTGAACGGGTGCTGGTACTGTGCTTCTTGTACAGCCTGAAAACCATGAGCCAAATACACCTTTTTCTTTATAAATTACCCAGCCTCAGGTATTTCTTTATAGCAGCACAAATGGACCTTAATACCATCAGTGTAACTCCCAAAGTCTCAGGGCCCCAAAGGCAGACAGACCATCCTCATACAAGAGAAACAATCTAGTAATGTCTCAATGTGTTTGGATTATGACATTTAACCACCCATTATAGAGATATTTACATTATTAAATAGGGAAACAACACAAGGGAAGGTTTCATTCATGGTGTAATCTCAGGAGATAAAAAGCAAAGCTGTAACGTACATGGGAAAGAGCATGGGGTTTGCAGTGAGACTTAGTTTTGAATCCTGGCTTGGCCATCTTGTCAGCTGTCTGGCTTTAGGAGAATACCAGTTAATCTCTCAGTTTTTCCATCTATAAAATAGGACGAATATAATAGTGCCCATTTTGTAAGAGTGCTGTGACAGTTACATGAGCTGGTGCTTGCAAAGCACTCAGCACATTGCCTATCATAAACAAAGCAGTCATTAAATGTTAGTTCCTTTCAATAAGTTGTACAACAGAAGTGGCTGCTGCTTCTGCCACCAGGCCCTGCATATGCCACTGGGGTTCACAAGCACTGGCATCTAAAGTCTTTCTTCCATGGAAGGCTCAGAAAGGGTCTTGAAGGCCAACTTCTGCCATCTGAGGTGTTTGCACTTCTATCATAATCTCAGAAAATGGCTCGGAGCTGTTCTTTGTTGTTGTTTTCCCAAGAAATCTTAATTTCTTTATTGTTGGACTTTTTGACTCAACACTAAAAAATTTTTGCTTTTGTTTTTGTTCTGAAACATTCTTGTTGTTATGAACATTTTGTTTTGTTCTCATTAAATGCACTTAACCCAAAATTAGGTTTGGCATATCGAAAAGGAGGCCTAGGAGGGGAGGACATGAGATCATGGGGGAGGGGGTGGGAAGAAGCCTGAATGGACAGAGAGAATTTGAGGATGAGGGAAGAGGAAAAGAGAGACAGCCAGAACGACACAGGGGAGATGGAGATGTAAGAAAGGTAAGGCAAGGGAAAGCCAAAAGAAAAAAAAGTCTGGAGAAGAAGAATTAACAAGATTTAGGAGCAAATGAATTCAGAAGCCCAAGGAAGGGATCAGGAGGGGAAACCAAGACCCTTCTCTGTACCATCCCAACTGGGGTGGGGGCATCAGGCACCAGTAGAGCTGTTCTTATTACCTGGATCGGAGCAGATGACATTTCTCCATCTGGAGAAAGAAAATATACTTAATGAATATCAAGTTATGGGGAAATTTGAGGGAAGAGAAGGAGGGACTTGAATATAAGTAACCAGAGAGCCAAGGAGCCCTTATCTGACTATTCTTGTTTACAGGGGGAGTGGCAGGGCTATTTGAAAAAGAAACAGCCAGAGAGCTGTGCTGAGTCTTAGAGGTGAGAGAAGGGAGACCCATTCAGAGAGTCTTTGGATAAAGATTCATAATTCCTCCCTCTATCCTTCCTTCCTTCTTTCTCCCCCTCCACCCCTCCTTCCTTACACAAGCTTTATTGCACCAGACACTGGGGAGAAAAAGAAGAATCAGAAAGAGTCCCTGTCCTCAAGGGACTCACAAGCTAGCACAGGAGGCAGACAAGGGGCTGTGAGAGATCCAGACAGGAAAGCTGTCTTTCCTACTGTGGGCAGCAGGTGATGGCGGTAGTGTGGGCACTGGTCCTTGAGAAAAGTTTTGCAGAAAATTCCCATTCCTGTGCCTGCTGGTAGTTATGAACACGAGCAGGCCAATTTTGTAAATTAAAAAAAAATTTCAGAAGCCAGTTTACTTAAAACCAACTGACTCTGGCCCTTCAGTAAATAGGCAAATGGACACTTGCTACTGTCTTGCAAACACACCAGCTCCAGAAGCAAGCCTGTACCCTCACGGGGAAGCCTACAGAGTGTATATGGTACACGGATTGACATTCCCTCAGTGCTGACATCCCAGATTCCCACATCTCCATAATCTCCTATGACCACATAGGACTTCCCTGATTATCATCACAAGAAAAACGTCTGTGCGTTTTAGCATCCCCTCTTATTTCTACCATGTTTTGCTCTGATGGAGATTGGGATTCCCTGAGACCCGCCATTCACCAGGGTGAAATGGCAAGGATGAGAGTGTTCTATTATTCAGTTACACACCTTACAGGGCTAGCTTTTTAGCTTCATAGTGAGTGAACTAGGCTTGCTTCTTTAAATGCAGGAAGACAGACTCAAAGCTCTCCTGTTATTCTTCTTCAGAAATGCAATGGCCTGTTCTCAGGCCTACACTTCATTTTCTCTCTTACATGTGATGCAATTAGCCGCACTCCACTTCTCCGAGAGTTTTTCTTCCTCCTTAACTTCAACACTGTTCTGGAGACCACTGCACCAGCTTCCTAAGTGGTGTTCCAGCGTCTGCTCTTGGCTTTAATTTGTTGTCAGCACAGCAACTGGGCTGATCTGTTTAAAGCAAATCTGATCTTATCTGCCCCTTGTGTACAGCCCTTTAATACCTTCTGTCACTCTTAAGATGATGCAACTTGGCCACAAGGCCCAGCCCCTCCACTGTACCCGCTGTGCTGGCTTTCTTGCAGTTCCTTATAAGTGCCTATCTCCTTCATCTTTTGCATCAATTGTCTCCAGTTAACTCCTTTATCCTGCAGACCTCAGGCACTAACTGAGAAATAGGGAGATTAATGAGCCAATCCTTGCTTCAATGAGCTCACAGTCCAGTGAGGGGAAAAAGAAAGATATGCAATTGAAAATATGCCCAAGGGGCTATGAGATCATAAAGAAGGGCAGTCTGGAAATGTAAGCCTACTGAAAGTGACAATGATAGGAAAGCAATGACTTACCTTTATTTGGGGAATCTTCTCTCTCTTCAAAACTGTGCATTTTTTTCCTGCAAAAGAAAAATAAATAGGTAGTTTTTAACATTCAGAAACTCTCAAAGAAAATTATACGAACCTATATCTTAAATTCTTTAAACTTATTTTAAATTCATTTAAAATAAGTGTTAAAGTGTTTAAATTCTTTAAAAATAAGTGTTAAAGTTATATTCCTTTTATAATACCTCCTTCAGCATAGAGAAATTAGATTTAAAAAGAGGAGAAAATGAAAGATGAGATTAAGTAGACATATTCTTCTCTCTCTCTCTCTCTCCCCTTTCTTTTCTAAATCTGATAGGGAATTGATTTATAAATGGAGAACTATGGTGATACTATAGGTTACTTTTCTTGGATTTTTTTTCTGACAAAATGACAATTTCTTTTTTTTTTTGAGTTGGAATCTCACTCTATCGCCCAGACTGGAATGCAGTGACTGCTCCCGGCCACCGCAGCCTCGACCTGCTGCGCTCCGGTGATCCTTCCGCCTCAGCCTTCCAAGTAGCTGCAACTAAAGGCGTGCGCTACCACGCCCAGTTAGTTTTTGATTTCTTGTAGAGATGAGATCTTGTCAAGTTGCCCAGGCGGGTCGCGAACCCTCAGGCTCAGGCAATCCACTCACCTCAGCCTCCCAAAGGCGCAGGATTACAGGCTGAGCCACCGAGCCCAGCTACAATTTCTTTTATGTCATATGAGTGAAGGAGTCAGGATTGTTTCCAATCTCAATTCTAATCTATGCTCTGCAAAACAAACCCATTTCTCCCATAAGAGGGCACTGTATAAAAGACACTCTAAAATGCAATATGAATATAATGGAGGCCCATTATCATTTCAGGATTCAAGGACAACATCTGCTATGATGAGGATGATCACATGTCCTGGTTTGCTTTCCTGGCTAATGTCATTTTCAATCATTTAGCAACCATTATTTTTTAGCATCTCTTTCACTTTCAATGTATCCAGTTTGGATGATAAATTACGTGATCATCCTAACTATATAGTCCCTGTGCAAGGTATAGAAACGTGCGCTTCTGTGCCTGAAGACTCTGGGATCTGCAGTATGAAAAAGGAGTCTTTCTCCACATTAGTAGCCAGTTTCATTCGTGCTTGAGGCTTTCCTATTTGGGGAGAGTATGCCACCCACAAGACTGCTGTTCCTGTTTCTCGCCAAACTTGAAGGGTTGCTTCCCTGATTGACTCTCAGGTGGTTGTGTCTGCACTACTGAGGCTTTTGCTGTGGTCATAGACAACAGGGAGTTCATAGGTAACTTATAGCAAATACCACACTGAAACCACACTTAGGGAAATAACGCTTAAAAACAACGCACCACTCACCATGGAAGGCAGCAACACCCTTCAGCAGTATGGTGATCCCAGCATCTAAAATACCCAAGAAAGATGATGCAAGTCACAAGACTGATTTTTGCAGTTTTGCTAAGATGGCTCCCTTTTTTTTTTTTTTTTTTTTGCCATTTCTGTGGAAAATCTTTTTGTTCCCCAAGCAAGTATTCATTCTAGGTGACTTGGACACATCTTATGATAGAATGCCTTTGCTCTTCTAGGAAGAAGATGACAATATCAATTCCTAATCAGGGAAAAAACTCTCTGCTGCATTCCCGGCATGAGGAAAAGTGATTTTTTTTTTTGGTTTTGTTTTTGTTCCCCCACCCCACCCAATTCCAGTAATTTACTTGATTTCCTTGTTATGAAGAACACATAAGACTTATCTCCAATAGTTAAAATACAGGCAAGTGTGTGGACATTTTAGAAATCATTTTTTTCCAGGTATAGGTTAGGTAATATCTATATAGGATTTCACTGCACTCTGAATTCCTTCAATTTACACTATATGAGAGGAGAGTCACACAGAACCCCAGAATTATATTTTGGTGGGTGGTCTCTTGTAGTACAGGCTTCCCCCACGAGGTAAGTGTTCTCTAGCAACCCACTGGCTTCAGCATACCAGCTAGCGTTGTTGTGAGAAACTGCATTTGGCTTCAGTTAATTTTTTTCCTGAGATTATAATTTGCTTGCCCATTTCATGATGGGTGATTTACAAGTGCTTCTGGCCATACCACACCGAGTGTTCAGCAGTTTTTGGTAAAAAACGGCTTGACTCTATTCACCTATCTGGCCTGAGTGACTTTTTTTTGTTGACCTGGTTAAAAAATTTCTCAAAGGAAAATGTTTTGCCAACGTGGAGGAAGTGAAATAAAAAATGGCAGATGCACTAAAATGCATCAAAACTGACAAGTTCAAAAGCTGTTTTGAGCAGTGGAAAAAGCATTTCAATAGGTGTATTGCATCAAACAGAGAGTACTTGGAAGGTGACTGAAGTTTAAGCATGTAAGAATACACAATTTTTATAAATAAATGCTATTTGGGGAGGATCCTTCCTCATATCAGTGTTCAGAGAGGGGCCTGGGTTCCTTAGCTATCACTGTTTCTTTGGTTCCATTCCAGGTACTGTATTCAAGTAACAGGGAAGGAGACAGGTTTTGTCTTGTGTAAACTGTCAAATTTCATGGACAGCACAGAGGCAGAGGACATGGGATTAAAGGGGAAGAAAAGCATTAAATAAAGAAAATAAATTTTCTTTATTTATTATGGGTTGGCTTTCCACATACCCATCATTTCATCTGTCAGGAGTTGGGGGTATGAAGATAAAGAGACTAACACTTAAACACTGCCTCCTATCTGCCAGTCATTTTATGGGCTGTATTTCATTGAATTCCAAAGTAAGTTCATGAGGTAGATATATTTTTTCTTTTTTAAACAACAGACTGAAGCCATAAACATGAGACAACTGGTCTGAGGAGCCACAACCAGTAAGGAGGAGAGGCTGGGTTTGCTTCTAGTATGCCCCTTCCTCTGAGAATCTGAGCTCTTATGAAGGGATAGGTACCATTCTGTCCCATGGGGCAAACCTACCCAGAGTGTTTGTTTGTTTGTTTTTTGTTAACAAATTTGATCTGGAGAAACATGGTGGGGGTGTGCTGATTGGATAACTGGGCAGTAGGGATGAAGTTGGAAATTAGATCTCAATATATGTGAGACTTTTAAATATATTAGGGAATGCATTTTAATGTTTTTTAAGAGACAGGGTCTTACTCCATCACCCAGACTGGAGTACAGTGAATTATATGGATTACTGCAGCCTTGAACTCCTGGGCTCAAGTGATCCTCCTGTCTCAGCTCCCCGAGTAGCTGGGACAACAGGTGTGTGCCACCACACCCAGCGATCTTTAAATTTTTGAGTAGAGATGGTGTCTTGTTATGTTACTCAGGCTGGTCTCAAACTCGTGGCCTCAGCGATCCTCTCACCTCAGCCTCCCAAAGTGCTGGGATTACAAGCATGAACCACTGCACCTGGCTTAAGGAAGGCATTTTAAATCAGAGAAATGAAGATATTGGGCAAACTGATTAACTCTTTGGGAGAAAAATTTATATCTGACATCATATGTTATACGTATGTGACCAGATGTAAAACAATAAAAATCACACAAAAAATTATACATGTATTTGTCTTATCTTGGGAGGGGGAATAAATTTTAAGCATAAATACAATGGCAGAAACCAAAAAACTTATTAGATTTAACTCAATTATCTTTAAAATATAACAAATATAAAATCATAAAAAGGTCATTGGCACAAAACATGTGTGCCTTGGAAAAGATATATTTTGCAATATTTATGAGAAAAAACTATTTCGTCAAAGTACAAACAGCTTTTATTTTCAATAAAACAAAATAGACCAAAATCAAAAGCAAAAATGGGTAAAAGACATTGCTTCACAGATAAATAGAAATGATTAATGAATATAGAAATTAAAATAAAGATATGCATCCAATGTTATTAGTAGTTATAAACATACTTACCATTTTATTTTTTTATACTTTGTGTTTTCCAGTTTTAAAATAATGTATACATATCAATGTAAAAATCCTTCACCCCAACATAAAATTCTAAAAATCAAATTTACATATGTGACATCAATCACTACTTTCTCATATCATTTCTATATTTTGTTTTATTTTCTCAGGACAGTTATTTATTTATATTTCCAATGGTTCATCTAACATTTATTAAGTGCCTGCCACATGCCAGAAACAATGCCAGAAATCAAATATGAATAATAAAAGATCCTTACATTAGAGGAGCTCGCATCTAGACAAAAAAAAGCAAATTATAATCCAATAGAAGAATGCTAGAGTGGAAGATTATCAAAGGACTGTGAGAATTTAGGGTAAAGACATCTCAGACAATGCAATTATTAGGAAGGGACATGTGACATTTCATAAGATCACCAAGCCACCTTTGGTAAGTGACCAAAAGGGGTCATCTCCTTTTCTGTGCTCCACTCTCCAGTGACATGAACTGAGACCTGGACACCAAACAATCCTGTAAAGATACCCCTGACTGGCTCACTCTCCCAGACCAACTCACTTTATAGCCTAGAGATTCCCCTGTGTTTAGTGGTGCAAATGTTGACAATGGCTGCTTTGAGGTTAATAAAGATGATGAACCAAAATAAGTTATTGCACTTTATTTTGTCTTGGGCACTATGCTAACATCACACACACTAAAGCCCTCCAAGGTGGGTATTACATTATTATTTCCACTTAAAATGAGGAAGCTGAAGTCCAGAAAAGTTAGACCAAGTTCTCTAGCTATCAAGGTGACCTCTGCTTACCTGATTGCAAGGAGTGCACACCGAATGAAGCCCCATGGTGGCGGGAATCTTGCTGGGTTATTTTTAACTTAAAATAGTGACTGAGAAGGTAGTGGTCTTGTTGGTCTCCTTGTGGGTCATGAAGAGCTCAGGAGAGCATCTCCTTCAAGCCCCAGAAGATTGTTCCATTTCTTATGTGGTCACCTATTATATAGACTTCCTCCCTTAATAAACTCTTCCCACCTTCCAGCTATTCTCCATTAACTGTTCACTGTGATTCTGTGGAGAAGGTAAGACCTGTAAGAAATTTAACGTGGTGTCTGGCACAGAGTAGCATCGAAGGTTTGGCAAAGCTTCACCCAATTCCCTTCATCCCCAAGAGCAGCCCTCTCTTTCTCTTTCTGGCTGCATTGCCCTGTCCCATGTCCCCCTCTCCCCTGTTCCCCTGGACTCACCTGTTTTTCCTCAGCAGAGAGTTTCCCATTCTCTCAGTCCTCTCAGCACCTTCTCCTCTGTCTCTTTACCACTTCCTCCTTGTTAGTTCTGTACTTCAACAGTGCAGCTCTGAATTAAAGAAGGGCCACCCATGCAGAGAGCTAAAAGGAGAAGGGCATCTCTGCAAAGGGGAGGAAGAGGCTGGAGAAGGGGAGTTAGAGGCACACACTACACGTGCAGAACGTCTTAAAATGTGAGAGCCCAAATGAGCTGGGCTGTTGGCTATAACCAGACAGAGGCTGCCAGTCAATGAGAGCTTGGAACCTCTGGGGAACTCCAGGTCTGCTATTGCATATGGGGCATGGGAGTTTTTCTACTTCAGCTATTTATATTTATTAAATCATTTTGTCTTCTTAGAAAAGCCTGAGGGGGAAACTTTGTTTAAAAAGAAAAGGTTAAAACGAAAAGTCAAGCCACAGACTAGTAGAAACTACAATATCAAAAACTCTCTCAAAAGTGAAAACACCCAATAATAAAATGAATAAACTATTTGAACAGACACATTACCAAAGCAACTATACAAATGACACATACATGAAAAGATGCTCAACATTGTGGCCATTAAGGAAATATAAATCACAATGCAATACTTTCTCACACTTATTGCAATGGCTAACATTGAAAACAAAGACAAAAACTGACAACAGCTAGTCCTGCAGAGCAGCGGAAAGTCTCATGCATTGCTGGTGACAATGCAAAATGCTTTTTTTGGAAGAAGCATGGCAGTTTCTTATAAAGTTAAATGTAGACTTACCATACAACTCGGCAATTCCACTCTTAGACATTTACCAGAGGGAAACATGTCCTCTAAGAAAATGTGTGCATAATTTTTTATTTCTGCTTTACTCATAGTTACCAAAAAGAAAAAAGAAAAAAAAAAAAAACCCTTGGAAATAGCCCAAATGGTCTTTAATGGGTAAATGACTAAACAAACTGCTTTACATTCACACAATGAAATACTGCCCAGCAATGGAAGGGAATGGACTACTAATATATGAAGCAACGTGGATCGATTTCAAAAGCATTGTGCTAAATAAAAGGAGCCAGACTTAAAGCCTACCTTTTGTGACATTCAGGACAAGATAAAACTATAGGAACAGAAAACATATTAATGCAGGGATCCCCAACCTTGGGGTCACGGGCCGCGTACTCTTCTGTGATCTGTTAGGATCCAGACTGCACAGCAGGAGGTGGGCAGCGGGTAGAGGAAAGCTTCATCTGTATTTACAGTCACATCCCATTGCTCAGATTACTGCCTGAGCTTTGCTTCCTGACAGATCAGCAGTGGCATTAGATTCTCTTAGGAGCAGAAAGCCTATTGTGAACTAAGCATACAAGGGATATAGGTTGAGGGCTCCTTATGAGAATCTGTTGCCTGGTGATCTGAGGTGGAGCTGAGACAGTGATGTCAGCACTCAGCAGCCGACTGCAAATACAGATGAACATTAGCAGTGAGGTTTGACTGTACATTGTCCCTCCATCTGTGGAAAAATTGTCTTCCATGAAACTGGTTTCTGATGCCAAAACGTTTGGGGACTGTTGCATTAGTGTTTGCCACGAGCAAGAGGTTGGGGGATGGGTTGACTTTCAAAGGATAAGAGAGAATATTTTTGTTTTTCTTTAACCTGATTGTAGTGGTGGTGGCTACATGAGTGTGCCTGTTTCTCATAATTCATAGAACTGTGTACGAAAGGGTGCATTTTATTGAATGTGAATTAAGTCTTAATAGAAAGATGTTTTAGAAATAAATAAATTAGGGGACAAGAATCATATTTGCGTTCTCTTTGTATTTGATGGTGGTTTCATTTTTGGTCACTCATTTGTTCACTCATTCCTTCTTCAAGTATATGTTGAGTGCATACTATGTGCTGGGCACTGTATGTTCAATGGTGAGCAAACAGATACAGGTCTGCCCTCATGGAGTTCCTTGAAATAAAATAAAGTGTAAAATACTTTATTGCTTGTCCCTGAGTAATATAGAGGTCATACCTAAAACAGGCCTAGAAGTGGGCTTAGAAGCTCTAGTTTGGAGAAAGAAACTGGGGTACTAGTTGTGTAACCCCAGACCCATTCTACATCATTCTTGTCCTTATAGCTGCTTTCCAGACTTTGGTCTGGCTCTGTGAGGGAGTTCTAGAAGCACTTTATTCAAAATAGTAGACAGACAATCCCTGCCTAGGAATTGCCTTCTGGAATACTTTCCAGAAGAAATTATTCTGGAGGGAAGGGCCTGTGAGGAAAAGGAGTTAATGCTCATCCAGGAGGGCTCGACGCAAGAAGCAAGATATATTATTATTTATAATGTTTTAGTACTTTAAGGGCAAATACACATTAAGGATAAGGGGCCTAATTTTCCCTGTTGAAAATAAATGGAGAGACTTCCTCCCTTTTTTTTCTTACAGCACTTACTTTAGAAAACTTGTAAGTTCTTTCTTTCTTTAAAATATACCTAAATATTTTAAAAGGCAAAATATGAAACCCAGTAAGGTTTCCTCAAGCATCTGTGAGTCATCTCTTTGAAATGAAATCATCAAGGAAGATAGCTCCCCTTTCTTTCAGATAACTTTAGTTGCAGATCCACCGCCAATCAAAAAGAAAGCAGAACTTGATTTTTTTTTTATTCTGAGGGATTAGCAAATACAGTACTTAAACAAATTCAGATGAACTATATGTGACAAATGGTGCTGACAAGTCCTCTAATTTGAAGACTAGTCATTGTTTACCTTGAGAAAATGTATATAATATATTGTATCTGCTTGATTATATTAAAGGGCAGTATGTTTCCCTTTTCTGTAATGTCTTTAGGGGCTTGCCTGTGATGCACATTACATTCTGGTTGATATTTATTCAAAAATAAAGATATTTATTTCTCTTCCATTTTTGTGGAGAGGTTTTCTGGAATGACAGGATATTTTGTTTGCAATTCAATTTCTCCAACAGTAGCCCCATTAAAATTTTAATTAATCCCTTGGATAATTGACTCTAGGAAGAATGCTAGGGTGGCAGATCTTATTTTGAGAAAATTTGAAATTCAGGAAAACCTTCCCATCAGTAAATTAGATAGATGAAATAGTGAAGAAAGGAAGAAAGTTCTTAACAAAGTTTATATAAAAAATTAGGAATGTCCACTGCAAGTAGAACTAAGAAATCTGGAGCTACCCTAGCCAGTTTCTCCCATTCTTCTCTTTCAAAACCACTTTCTTTCCCAGACTGGATAATTGCAACAAATATTAGAGAATGTCTTCCAAGTTACCTGAAGCTTCTTTTCTGTGTATGCAAAATCTGGGGTGTAACAACAGATGGTCTGCCATTTTGTGTGTGAACAAAGTGTTGTGTGTGTGTTTGAACAAAGTGTATGGTGTGTGCGTGTGTGTGTGTGTGCACGTGTGTGCATGCGTGTATGTGTGTGTGTATGTGTGTGTGAGAGAGAGAGAGAGAGAGAGAATGAAGGCACAGAGTCCGAAGGAATCTTGACATACTATTATAACTAACTTTTCTCTTCCCCATGACCTTCAGAATAAAGTGGATACAAAAAACAAACAATCCAACCTAAAAGTTCCTACTTCTTGATGGCCTCAGGGCCTTTTACACTACCTAGAGGCCAGCAGTAGGGAAACAGAGTGTCTCAGCATCTTGAAATGGACAAAATGCGCAAGGGTGCATAGCTAGTGAGTAGGGCTATTGTTGATTCCTCATCAGTATGAATTAAGGGATCCCAGAACCTGGGTGAGGCAGCCTGGGCGGACACAGCTTGGAAGTTGCCCCATGGATGGCTTAATTAGTTCCAGTGCTGTCTAAAGGAGTCCAGGGAGTCAACAAGATAGGGTGTGAGTGAGAAATCAATCTGCCGTTTGTAATCTAAGGAAAGGTTGGGTAACAAGCTTCAGTTTTACTCAGGCCACTAGATGGAGAAGCTGAGCTTTGGAAGTGTTAGCTACCGATCATGAACATTTGTGATTGTGCATAGCAGCAGCAAAGAGAAGAACACTTATAATATACACATTTTTTTGCTGTGAAACTGACTGTGGACTATAAATAATCTATCTCTACTCCATGAATGAGAGCATAGCAACACACACTCACACAGAAGCCCTAATAAATCTTTGGATCATAGATTGTCTCTTCATTCTCCTCAGTGTATACCTCCAGTGCCTAACAAATGTAAGCAGCTATATGAATTCAATTGGAAATAAAAACCTGGAAATTTGTAAGCAAATGATGGTGAAATCAGAGAAAGTTTGGGCTGAAATCTTTAAATTTACTTTCCTAGCCTTTGTCATGACTGTAAGAATTAATAACCAATGTAAAGACTGTTTTATTATACCTCTAAGTTCATAGGATAATATAATCACAATAACCATTTGTTGAGAACTTTCTAATAATCCAGGAATTCTGTTAAATACTTTAGGCACTTTATCACTTCTTTATGTAAAAATTCTATGGATTAAACACGATTTTCTCTTTGTTGTAGGTGAGGACACTGGGCTCAGGCAACTTGTTGAAGGTTATCCCAATACGAAGGGACAGAGCTAAGATATAAGTTCACACAGGGTGTGAACTTTATCTTTGTCTATTCACTGTCCTAGTCAATAAATACTTGTTGAAAGACAAGCTTGACTTTAAAACCTGATCTATGTCACTCCAAGTATATTTGCATATTTGGAGTGTGTTATGACTTCTCACTCCTAAGGTGGGTTTTACACTTTGAACTGGCCTCAGTTGCCAAGGTAGATTAGAGACCTTTAGAATAAGAGTAATTCTAAGAAGCTCCTTCAGTTTCAAAGGCCCAAATGGGATAATTCTAGCCCTAGCCCAGTCACTTTTTACTTTTGTAAAATGGGAGAAGGAAACTGGGAGAACTATTTATGCACAAGGACAATCCTCTTGGGGCATTTTATGATAGGAAAGGAATTGAATTATTTAAGGTTTCTTGTAGTGTCTGGAATCTAATAGCTTAATTAAGACTTCCCTGTTTTGCTTTCCTCTAAA